CTGTTTTTTCTGACTTCAATCTCAGAATTCTGACTTTTTTCCAACATTAAACTGAAATAAAATTTAAAAATCAGTTAGCTTTTTATTTTTTCAGTGGTCCTAATCCCCTTCCATATATCTCTGTTGGAAGAGTGACTTGTAGCATTTATGCAAGAACTGCCACATACTTATTGTCAAAGGATTATGTCACATAATCAGAATGAGGCTTTAGGCGATGAAAAACAAGATAAAACCTGGACCCAGATAAAAAAAAAAGCGCTGGTGTGAACACCTTTTGAATTGCCACGTTCACTTTTAATCTTGGAAGCACTTACTACAAACGAGACACAAAAAGCCACATTAAGAGCAAGCAAATCCATACGATTCACGATTCAGGCCTTTGTTCATACAAATGTGAATAAATCACAATACATCAAACGGTAGTTTATTCCCGCACCTGCTCTGTTAATAAAAGCGCTTGTTTGAGTTGCCTTTAGGCATTAATTTCTCTGTAATCTGAAAGCTTTCAGGCTGTTTGCAGAAGTCTCTGTCAGTGTATTTCAGTAATAATGACAGAGTGGGAGGGCCACTCAGTGCAACTAAAAAGGACCGTGATCGGAGCGGGCGATCCCACTGTGACTTTTATTTCCAAGTCCCGGAATCCGGAGCCGCACTGATCCTTATCACGCATGGATTATGATTTTATCGCTGCTTTACATTTGTTTTTGCATTAAAGGAAACTTTGTCAACACATGTAAGTAGCCAATTATACACTCAAATAATAATAATTAAAAACAAAAACGTCTTAATATTCTGGGTAACCAATCAAACCTTTGTTTTACATCGGATGTATTTGGTATCCAGTTGTTTATTTATTATAAGTTGTTTTGTTGTTTATTTTTGTCCCGATCGCTCCTAACTTCAAGGCACATGTTACAGGATCTGCTTCTCTCTGGTTTATAAACGCTCCTCCGCGCTGAGATAAACATGTTATCTATCATATTGCATCACTTCCTCATAAAAAAGTGCAAGAATGTGTCAGGTTTTGACAGCCTCTGCAGATTTAATGATAATTGAGGATTAATAGCATGCAGCCAATCAGCGTCCGAGCAGAGAAACACGCTTCTTTGCATAGATACACTGCATTGACGGAAAAAAGTGTCTGAGGGGATGATGGAGCGAAAGTTAAATTCCCTGTGCAGTTTATTTATGACACAAAGATCCGCATGCTACTCTGACAGTTTAGCTTTTTAAATCGATTATAAAGCAGATGTTCAGTCAGCACTGCTGTCCATACAGCAGGGGCAGAGCTAGATGGGGGCCCAGGGGTGGCCATGGCCACCCTTAGCCAATCGTTGGCCACCCCTACCATTTTGTTCCCTCTAATACAGATGGTTGCAACAGTAATAATCTCAAGTGGAATATTCAAAACATTGGATTTTTTTGTGGTTAATTATACACATCAGTATATTAACATGAAAGGGGAATGGCGGTCTAGTGGTTAGGGCATAGGGCTTTGAATCCTGAGGTTGTGAGTTTCCCTGGGCGCCGCACAATGGCAGCCCACTGCTACCCAAGGGGATTGGTTAAATGCAGAGAAGTAATTTCCCTCTGGGATTATTAGAGTATATTAAATAAAGAATAAATTAAATAAATTTAAAAAAGGAGGTTAATTCCTGATTTTTTTTTATACGGGGTAAAGAGAAAAATACGTGTCTCTGCAAGTCATCTAGGAGTCTTCAGTGAAATCAAAGATAAGTAACAATTAAAAAAAATCAAATAATCAATTTATGTAGATATTAGTGCTTGTAAATGTCCATTTTATGCAGAATGTTTATTGATACAATAGGTAAGTAATGACAATGATGATTGATTTACGCCCCAGAACTTAAAACTAAGTTTTATCCACTATACCTTTTATCTAGAAATTACGGGTGTTTAAATTTATGCGTCTGTTTGTTAGCTCGTTAATTGTCCTGTTGGAACAGTGTAGATTGAGCGTGAGATTCTGGTGCCTATCCGCTCTTGGCCATTCCTCAGTGTATATTGGTTATTGCCTGGCCACCCTTATCAAAAATGTCTGACTATGCCTCTGCCATACAGTAACCTGCATTATTTAAAAAGAAATTTCTTTTATTTAAAGTTAATTTAAAGGAATAATCGCAATGATCAGTGTTTTGCAGTAAGGAACTGGGCTACACAGGAATAACATAACGCCTTCTCACAGACAGACATGTGATACCTGTGCTGGGCTGCTTGTCTACTACCCATGCATGCTTGAAGTTTTAAGTAGCACGGTCGCCTCATCTCCAAATGCCATGGCAGACCCCCCTCCCCTCCCCCCTGACCTGCAAAACTTTATGATCCAGTGGAAGATGAACATGTGCATGTATGGAAATTAATCTGCGCAGGAATATGTATTTGGAGAAGACACTTACAGTTTAAGAGGAGAGTTCTGTGGAAAAAAAAAATTTGCACTCATTGAACTGTGCCAATAGATGCATTGAAATGTTGTGCTTTCCTATCCGTCTGTCAAGGTTTTGTTCCCAAATTAGCCGGATCATGTACTGGCATAGCTGCTGCATTGTTACTAAGGTTAGATAGTAAACAGTTCATTCAGTCTGATGTCATAGTATGAGGGTGAGCATAATTCACCTTGTGTAGCTTAAGAATTACTTTAAAACACAAGTTATTCTTGAGTATACATTTTTCTTTTTGGTTTTGAAATCACTGATTTATTTTAGAAAAGCTCATTCAAGTTTTGCTTCAGTTCAGAAATGACTCAAATCTCCTTAACTTTAGAGACCCTTACCATTCAGAGATACTTCATCCACAGGGATGCTTTTACTCTGGTATGTGTTCAATGCGGAAAATTTGGTTTGGCAGCTTATGCAAATTTCTTCCATACTGCAGGTTCCCAAGTTTGATCCTTACAAGTCTTGTCCTTAACCAAGACCTCTCTGGAAATTTCCCAGATCAAACACACCAGAGTGCCAACAGACAACGATCAAGGCTTTGACAATATAAAGCCAAACAGAGAAAACCCAGAAGCCTTTTCCAACTTCCTGTTTAGATGGTGTTATAATACAGTGATTTTATATCCAGAGCAACAGATATTTGACACAGGTGAGATGTTAGGAGGCAATATACATTTTGATCATAAGGTGTGATTGAAAAGCTGTAGGTAGATTTTCATTCAAATTCTGCAGTGAAATACAGAGCCTGCATAAACAGAGGAAGGTTTTTCATTGAAAATCAAGTTAAGCTCAGAACCAGATCTAAACTGGACAAGAAGTACACTATTGACCTAAATAAAAACACACGGTTTTGACAAAACTCTGTAATGCAATTATCATATCACACATTATATTATACATAGTAAGCATAACATAGTATAAAAATTTTAGGATTATAATCTTAAATAGAAAATAATGTAACTTTGAGGCATTACTGTATGCGATAATTGAACTTATTTATTTTCGAAATTAATATTTATACGCTTTTTTTCTATGATGTTCATTTACAATGTTGATGAAGTTATGTGTAGACTGAGGGCAAATATAACCTAAGCACCTGGTAAACAACTAAATATGCCTTCTTGTAGTCAAGGGAAAAGTGCAGCAACCTTTTTGCAGCCAACAGGAAGTGAGAATCAGCAGTTTGTGGTGTGAGCTTTGCTCTAAGCCCCATAGCCTTGGAAAGGTCAGTCTTGGAAAGGTCCCTTTGTCTTTGTAACAGTGGGTCTTTCTTTCCAATTATAGCAAAAGGATGTATAATTACAGGCAGGTTATTAAACTTTAAGCGGGTTTGATACCAAACGTTTTTAATAGCGGGCATACCTCAATTTAGGTACGCAGAACACCCCTTTTGTTTAAGTTAGTATATGATTAATATACAGTGGCTTTAAAAACTGACCCTATTAAAATACATGATTTCTGGGTCTTAAAAAGTGAGACTATGATTAATACATTTTGCCTTGAATTTGACCTGCTTTGAATGAATTTTATTTCCTATGCAACTTAAAAGAAAGTCTCGTCCTTCCTAAAGTTCTCCAAATCTATTAGATGTGAGGAATTTTCTTGCCTCACTTAACTCCACAGCTTTTGTCATTTAGATCAGAACACTTGGTCATTTTGTTGTCATTTGAAGAAGCTATTCTTTTGTTAATTCTTATATGCTTTGAATCACTTTGATGCTGAAAGATGAGTCATTCTTAATGTTGTAATATTTCAAGCCTGCAACTGAGGATTTTAGGTAGAACCAAATGTTAATTAAGCAACCTAAAAAAAGAAAAGAAAGTAATACCAGATAATGATGTTCACGCCTCTATTTCAACCTGGAAAAACTCACACGGAGAGAAAAGACAATTAGAAGAAATTTATTGATACAATTACTTTGTCTTTGGTGCACAGACCTCGGCAGGAAACATAGCACTGAATTTTGATAGATATGCATGAACAGGAGCAAAGAATAGGGCTGTTTCCCCCTAGGCCTGAAACTGGTGGTGGAGTGGAGATAGATGAAGTTGGTCAGTCTGTAGACTGCTGGTTAGTGAGACGGTCTCCTGAGCTTTTATGGGGAGATCCAGGGGATTGTGTGAGCTGATTCTAGAGACCTACTCAGGGACCTGGAAGATGGAAGTCCAGTTTGGATAACACAGGTTGAGAGAACCTGTCCATGATGAGCAAGCATGAAGCAACTGTGGAGAGGAAAATCTCCCCATTGGGAAGAAACCTCTGGCAGAACCAGGCTCAACATAGCGGTCTTCTGCCGGACCGGTTAAAATGAGACGCAGAATGCAGTAAGAGTCCAGGAGGAATGACACTGATGAAGTTTTAGCTACGATTGTGGAGGAGGGGCTGGAGGTGGGTTGAAATGGGGTCATATGAATAAAGTCACAGCGCAACCACCGCTAGCTTGCGGACGAGTTGCAGATCGGAGGCCTTTTACGACGAACCTTGGATGCTGATTGGCTTTCGTGGAGGTGTGGTTCAAAGCTGATTGGCTGTGTCGTAGGCGAATGAAGGCGATTAATCAGTTCACTCAGTTGAACTTCTGTATGGGCTCCATGTTTAACTGTATTTGTACCATTTTACATTTTACCTTTTGATGTAAAGTTTGGTTTTTGATCTGAACATCAGCGTTTGGAAGCGATGCCCATAAGCTTTTTTCTCCATTCCCCTGTTATTAACACAATCTATAGATTTCTGTGTGTTTAAAAAAAGAAGATTTCTATATTCCAATTCTCTTCCCAGACATACTGAGTGAGAGTGAGAGCAAAAAATGGAGACATTGTCACATTAGGAGGACTAGCAGTACTTGTAAAAAGTTGTTTTATCTTCTCTAGTGCTGCTCTATTGACTGTACAGCAATCAAATCATTTGATTTTCTGCTGAAAAGTATTTTGTGCAATGAAATCCCTCATGCAAGTGATCTATGGCTTTAGATAAAGGGTGCAGGTAAGCAAATACCAGGAAAACTCAAGTTGGGTAGTTGAAACTGGTGCTGAAACAATTAATTGGATTAATCAATTATTGAAATAATCATCAACATATTCTGTAATCGATTAATCATTAACTGGAGTATACATGCCTATAGCTTACAAGCGACCAACTTAGAGCCGTAATTATATCAAAATTGTAAAAAATTATATAAATATTTTGCATTTAAGATGGAAAAAACAATGCTCTATCCAGAACTCCTCAAGTGGAAACATTTTAGTTTCACCTGGTTTAATTTCGTAAAAAAATTTCTTTAAGGAACCTTTTACTATCCGATTATTAATTGATTAAGCAGAAAAATATTCGACATTGATTTGCAAAATAATTGTTAGTTGAAGCCCGAGTTGAACCTATTACAGGTCAATTTGATTTACTGTAACACTTGAGGGTAGCCAACCTAAATTTTAAATATTTTATAAGGTCACCTTGGCTAACAAGCTACAACTCAACAACACTGAGCTAATGATGTTGCTACTGTACACTTTTGACATCTACATTAATCAAAGATGCTAATAACATAATAGGAAGGAAAAGCACAAAGTTCTAGAGTTCTTGAGGGGCACCTTTAGGAACATTGTATTGCATGTACTGTATGGATGTAATGTATGTCTTTTAATGTTAAGCATACTTAACAGTTTATTTCCACTATTGTTTAATTTTCATTAAAATATAACAGATTTAAGAATTTCTTCCCAAAGACCAAATATTTGAGATATTTACCCTTTTTTTTTTAGATGTAAGCAATGTTTAAAAGTTTCTGTTTTAAGCTTCTAAAGCTATTTAAATAATGTCCAGTAGTTTCAGCTCCTGGCCAGCTGAAAGAAACTAATTACCGGGTAGAGTCGTTACTACTGCAACCAGGATAACAGACCCTCATTAAAGTGTGTTTAGGCCATTGTTTGCTCTTAATTAGTGTGATAGCTGAAAGTGATCGCTGTTATCTTCAAGTATTGCTACTTTACATTTTGTTTGGTTTGCTGTACACAATTAAAAACTGGACTTTTCTACAAAGTATCATTTTTCATTTTGATGTTGTTTTATTTATTTATTTATTTTGCATTTGGCCAATACAGAAAATTATATCAACATTTGAGATTTAGGTTGGCTCCCCGATCCAGTTGATTTTAATATGAATCACCTCAGTTAACGCAATTGAAAATAACATTTTCTTTTTGTGTTTAGCCCATACCTTAGGGAGCAGTGAGGAAAGTGTAGGACCCAAACATTATTTTGGGGATAAGGGTCTGGAACAGGGACCCAGAATGACAAACTGAGGTTTTAAGCAATCTTTTGGTCTCTATAGAGCACAAATACCATGCTCTCTAATCACAAGGCCAGCGCTTGTGAGTCATCACATCTTTGCAACAAAATTAAGAACCTGTTGGTCTTAATTGACTTCCATCTATAGGGCTTTTGAGGCTCCGTGGTAATCAGAGTAGTACTTCAACGATGATGCTAAATACAGGATTTACTTTAGGGGATTTTACACTGCAGTCGGTCTAACTTGGCACTTATTTAATTGATTCTTCCATTCTTTTTACCTGCATATGATTTGTTAGAATGGAGGCTGGCTAAGATCTTTCAGTCTTAATCAGTAGGTAACAGGTGGGGGGCACCCTCTTGCAAAATAATCTTTAGGATGAATTTACTGAATTGTGATTATATGAAAGAAAAAAGTGCTTTGGGAATTTTATAAGAGCCACATACTTTTCCATTTGGTGCCAAGTTGTGATTAAGTTTAACCTTATTGTTTTTTTTTTAGGTTACACATTTGATGAATAATTAAACAGTTACGTTTAATTATATATCTACTGTAGTTATAGAACAATCTATAATGGGGTATGGTATAAAAAAAAAGCAATAAGATAAAAAAGCTTAAAGGTATCAGGATGCAATGATAGTTTGATGGAGATGTTAACTTTGCTGCAACATATCTTCCTAAGGAAAGCAGATGGCAAGTATTCAACTAAATGACTCTCTTTAAAACATGTAGAATATCCCTAGCTAATACAGTTCAGTGCTGTGACTAACTATATGAATATAAACCAAAAGCATTGACTGATCTGGGGGGAGGGGGGAGTGAATAAAAGTGTTAATTGCTGTCCCAGCTCTGTTAGTAGCTTTGTCCTAAAGAGAGACAAAGGTAAACAGACAAGGACTGATACATTATTATGATCTATGATGAAAAACAGAGTTTATATATAGCTATTTTTGGTGGCAGCTTTTTCAGTGGCTTTGATGGAGGGAAAAGGGAAAAATAATTAAACACTGAGTGGGAGGATGTCGTCAACAATAAGAACACAGAGTCTTATGTATGAATGGATTGGATGAAGACCATATCCAGGAAAGAGACGAATAAAGCAAACAGAACACCAGACACCATGTGCAGCTTCTGTAAAGACTAAAAAAAGGAGGGCAGCAATAACTGAAAGAGAGAAGTAGAAGAAAATACCCAATAATATCTGTTATATGATTAAGATTTTTTTTTCTTAAGAAAAGAAATAACCCATTGTACTTAGTTGTACTGAAAAAAAAACAACCAGAACTGCACAAATATTTCAATTAAGAAATGAGTTGTATTTCTTAATGCAGAAGGGTTATGCTCTTATGGCGTTTTGTTTAACATGCAGTTAAACAGAACGCCTTCACTGGTTTGTTGTTGTCATTAGCTGCTAAATTGTTTCCTTGATTACAACCAAATATACTTCTCCTGTGCATGAGAGAAACGTATTAAGATTGACCCTTTGTCCTGTTTACTTTGGAAAATTGAACTTATAATAGAGATGACATTACGTCCAAGACCTGTGCTCTGAATTTAAATTTTTAAAACCTGCCATTTGCTAATCACTTAGTGCTAACAACTGATAATAATATGAGAAAATGACTATCTTTCCATTTTATTGGTTCGAACAGCAAAGTAACATCTCATTTAGATTTTATATAGTGCAATATGTGCCAATGTAAACTACTCATCCTTTCTATTATTAAATATTTGATATACTACATGATTTTCTGCCTGATTCTACTTACAATTTCCAGTCAGGGAAGTCTGCACTAGTTGCGGTCAGTCAGAAGGGCAAGTTGGCACAAAAACCTGTTAGTGAGAGATAGGGTGAAGCCTGGAGTCTTCAAAGGTGTGAATGCAATAGACTCAACCTGACCTAGAATGTTAGAATATAACTAAATAAACTGATATTTCACAATGAATTATTGTGAAACATAGAGTAAACTTACTTGTCAAACTTTCTGTTTATTTAGTTGAACAATCCATCTATACAAGGTGTTGCTGCAGTGTGCAGAAACGTATATGAAAACCTTCTAACAATCCCAAGTAACGTTTTTCAAACTCAACAGGGGTGCAACAATAAAATGCAGTCAACACAGTCCAATTTGAATTCTCCTGTGGGTAAATTCTGACGTATTTTATATCCAATTTCTTTCATTTTGTTTGAGATTAGGATAAATGAAATAATGTATTGTATTGTTAACATCTAAAAAAATTGGAAAATTAACTTTTTTAAACTAACTATGTCATTAACTCTTCATTTAACCCATCCCCTTTAGGGAGCAGTGGGCTCCCTGAGGGAACAATCGGGCGTTAAGGTTTTTGCTCAAAGAGCCAGATTGGCAGTCGGTTTCAAACTCACAACCTCAAGCTTCCGAGCCCTATGCCTTAACCTCTAGGCCACCACTTCCCTAATAATGCCCCCAGTATCTAAGATTAATTATACTCCTAAATTGTCAATATTTTAGCTGTTTTGTGTCAAAGTACATTGCAATTGGTTTTAAATGTTTCTTTCAAGATTTATTCAATTATTGCTTTTCTCATCTTGGAAGTAGTTCTGCTAACTTTTTCAACACATTGAAATTATTTTTTTTGACAATGCAGATTAAAGCCTACACATCTGTAATATCATAAATGTTTAGCTTATAAGAGTTTTTAACTCTAGGTTGGTGGAGCTGTTAGTTTTGGCAGCCTTCAACAGCTTTTCATAAAAACAAACAAAACAAAAGCACTTCTAATCTTGATCCTTGAGCTGTGCATTTTCTGACACTGATGACAGAATGTATTTATCAAGATTACCTACATATTTGATAGGTTTAATGTTTCTGAAATTGGTTTTGGAATGAATGTTGTTCCTCTTTTTTTCAGCCTCACGGGTGGGCTGTTTTCCAGCATCAGAGCCATGAATTATTACTTGATAAGATGTACTGCTTTATTATGGATTGTGAACTCTGTTCCTCATGCTTTTGGAATGGCTGTGACTGAACAAGCAGGTATGTTAGTTTTTTAATGATTATTATATTTTCTCTGAAGCTCTGAAAGGTTTAAAATATAATTTCCTTAATTGTTAAACACAACACATGAAAGTTTTTGCAGTTAAGTTCAATACTTTCATAGCATATTAACCTTTTTATTAAGTTTGAAACATTTAACATGCAGATTAAGGGCCATTTCTTTAACACTGCTTTTCTTTATAGGTTTTTGTTAAGATAAAAATTGAAATGCACGATTTAAACAAATTCTTTTTGGCTTCTTTTTCATAGATGGTGTTTGTCCCTCTTTAAGTGTGGAGGATTACAGGTTTTCTGATGTTTTAGATCGTCCTTTAATGATCACAGGTAATTGCTGATGCAAAAGGCTTTATTCAATGAGAAATTCACCATATGTAACAATGTGACACCTTGTGGCTCTGTTTTACAGGGTTTGATCTCACAGAAAAATTTCTTCTCCGAAGGGGAACAGTTACAGAAGAACTACCATCTTTTCGTCTAGGAAGCAGCCCTCTTATAAAGCCAACAAAGTAAGATTGGATGTGCTTTTCCCCAACATTGTTTTTCTTCTAATAATCGATTTAAAAAGAGGACCAGAGAGATTGTTGCTAAAATCAAGGAATTACATTTTGGATCCTCACTGGGGAAGCCTATTATATGGAGTTAGAAAAAGAGCTTTTGGATGATGTAAGGAAGAGCATTTTCGCTTTCTTCTATGGCCATGGCGAGGAGAGCCAAATTTTAACCTTGCATAATTACTTCAAGTGTCATGGGAGCTTGGCTGTCTGATCAACATGTGTTTTGTGGATCTGGAGGAGGCTTATAAATGTTATCCCTCAAGGTACTTTGTTGGGATAACTGTGGGAGTATGTGGTTCTTGGCATGTTTTAAAGTGATTTTTAGTTCTTATTGAATCATAGCAAGAGTTGTGTCCGCCCAAAATCTGGCCTTTCGATAGTTCAAAGTGGACTGTATTAATGCTGCCTTTTGTCACTGATCTTGTTTTTAGTGTTCATGAACAGGAACTAAGCAGAGAATAGTATCTTGTTTGATTTTTTTTCTGTTTTTCTGCAGAAGAAGCCTTTAGCATGCATTGGTAGAGATGCTGCCATTCCTCTGCGTCAACAAGAGCCATTTGAGTTAGCTAAGATATGAAAGCTAGATGATTTGTTGGTATATTCTTTTAGAGGTTTCCATAGGATGTGACACCAAGGAAAACCAAAAACTTGAAGTAAGGTGTAAAGTGAAGTAAAGTGTCACTGATGGAAAGGATACCTTGTTTTTTTTTCTCCTGGACATGTTACCTTTGCCACCTGATCTTTGATAGGTTTAAGACAGAAGATTTCTTTTCTTTTATTAATAGCTGGATAAATTGTCTTGTAAAATTCATTGAAGGGTTGAACCAAGGCCACCCACATATATCATGTCCAGAGCAAAAGTCCCATTTACCTTATTTAGTAAGGACAGCCAGTGAAGTGAGTTCATTGACGGAGAATAAATTGAATTAATATAGGTTGCATTTATTCAAAAAATCTCCTTGAGGCTGAATGTGGGACGTAAAGGGACATAAAAATTTAGATTATGGATAATAAGACAGGAATATTAAAACAACTCCATAAATGACACACTAGGGCGTAATTCTTCTGGAAAATTGTCATTTTCCAGCTAACTGGGTGGGTAGTGAGATTTCCTCATGTTGAAGATAATTTGTTTAAGTGGCTAACCTATTTATCATATTATGAAGGCTCGCGTCTTTCAGTAAGCTTTGTATTACATAAAAAAAAACAATGTCATTTATGACTTGGCTTACTCTGATGCTCTGGAAGTTCTGGAGAAGATCACTGTTTCCCATCTTAAGGTTTAAACACTAAAAGGGTAGGCTGTCATTCTTCAAGAAGGGCTGGGTATTTTTAGTATTTTTACGTGCACTGTAAACATTTACGGCCACCGTCCTTCTGGCTGGGTAAATGTATCATTGAGCCAGATGATTTGCGAGCTGCTTTCCTGTGAGCCAGCTGCAAATACATTTACATTTAAGTCCTCTCATTCAATATGAACCTATAATGGAAGGAGATGTTGGTTTTGTAGTGGCGCTGCTGACAGTGTTGTTGGTTATAGTGGCTAGGCTGTGATCCCTCTCATATCCAATTATCTAAGTACTTTGACAGGTGATACTGCACGTCAGCTCAGGAGGAAAGCAAGGTTAGTTGCATGTTGAGAATAAAGCCCCCTTAGCCACTGCTCCTGCCATGAAAAAAACATTGCTCACCGTACTCCAGGGATATGCAGCCCTGTGCTTTATTCTCCAAATCTAGCAGACGATCTGCCAGCTACTTGACACAATGCTCATTGTGGCACATAGATCATGGCTGACACACTCTTAAAGCAGTTATGTGAAGTGACAAATTGCCTGCCATAATGCACCATGCACTCATCCATACAGTGGTAAAGTTTAGGAACAGTTGTTCACTCTCTTTAAAAAACATCTGTGTTACATCCTCCTCAGTTTACATGTTAACCTGTGTTTATAATCATATATGATTTATTTATTAAGTTCCATTGGAATATGTCCTTGACATCTTCAGTGTAATTTTTTCTGTGCAGTGCGGATAATGAGTGTTAATAATAGTATAGTTCTCTTCGCTTACAGGTTTTGCAAATGAGTGTCTATTTTGCTCCATGTTAGATAGCAGGCAGCCACACTTGAGTGGAGCTTTTTGGCTGTTTCCTTGTGTAGCATAATGAGTTGTAAAGGCAGAATGCATGCTCATTATTTTGTCTTTGTTCAAATTCCAGCTTTCATATGCTTTGGGGGTGGGTGTTTAAGAATGCCATCCGTGTTTGCTGTTTTGTGAGATAATCAGAAGCTTTAAGTGAAGCTGGCTGCATTTTTCAACAAAAACATTTCATACTAGTTATTTTGTAAGCAAACATATGCTTTCAGAGTTGAAATACACGATGAGCCGAGACAGAAAATGATGGCATGAAGTCAGTGTTTGTGTTGGGTTTTTTTTAGTTTGTGGTTTCTGGTAGCAATGTTTTGACACTTGCTCAAACCATTACTTCTAAATGTACTTCCTAAGCTTCCTTTGGAATTACAATCTGGATTACAATCATTCAGGATCAGATCAGATGATTATTTCTACACCATGTCACAAAGTGGTTCACTAGCTCTCTGTACTGAGCTTCTTGCCCATCTTTGATGGACCCAATGTTTGCAGAGTCATCTGAGTATTTCTGCAGCTGACAGGACATGGTCTGGAACTGAAAATCAGATATGCACAGAGCAAAAGGGAATGGTGAGAGTACTGCCCCCTGTGGTGCTCCTGTGCTACTGAATACTTGATTAGACAGTTAACCCTTCTTTCTAACAAACTTTGGTCTGTTTGTTAGGTAGTCTATGATCCAGGCGATTGTTGATGCCTCTACCTGTGTTTTCTGAAGTTTATTTATTTATTTATGGTTTCTAACCTGAATAAAATCCGGTGTAAGAACCACGTTTTCACAGAATATTGCTACCATCAATTCATTTCAGTTCAGTTTCTTTATATAACGCCAACTTACACCACATGTAATCACAAGGCACTTTACATAGAGTTAGTCACAGTAAGAGAAACAGGACTGGACTTAAAAACAGGCCAAGCTCCAGCATCAACAAGCTGCTGACATCAACAGAGATGTTGATGGCTGCAGCCATGTTTCAGTGTGGGGAAGGTGGACATTTTTCGCATGTTCTCAAGCATGATGACATGTTTTATAGCTGTTGTGTCAACAGATTCTTCGTAGCTGTGCATCTCCACAGCTCCTCCTGAGGTTACTGTTGGCCTCTTGGCTGTTACTCTGATTAATGCCTTTCATGGGGCTTATGAAAGGCATTAATTATGCCAAACCTATTAAAATCTGGATGGTTTGCATTTGTGCCATAGTTCTTCCTCAAAACCTTTCCAGAACAGATGCACCTATAACTTAATTGCATGAATTACACAAAGGTTTTTTCTATTCAATTGGTAGCTTCTAATGGTAATCAGTTGCATTTTATTTAGGGGTGTTAGATTGAAGGTGCTTAAGATAAATACACGGTAGACTTTTTAACTTTTTTTTTTATAAAAGAACCCTAAACATTTTTGCTTTCCTTAACTCCAATTTTTCTCTGCTTTTTGTTGGTAGCTTCCAACTACAACTATTGAATTTTGTGACAGTTACATCACAAAAGCCTTAAGAAAGCACTGCACATGTTCAAGAGTAAATGCATCGATTGCAGAATTGTCTTCATGCTTGGACTGTTCCAAGGGGTTGTATTTGTTTTCATCAAACTTCAATCCATAGAATAAAACCATCACATGAACCAAGGGGAGAAAAGAACATGTTTATTGCTGTATGTAATCTAAACATCAGTTAACTCTAAACCACATCATATTTGTTGCTGCAAATTAGTCATATTGAAATGAGGCTTGTCTGAGACAGAGTTGGCAGAATCACACACTTAGTGTAAAAGCCTTTTTGGCAGTATAACATGGTGGGAGGGAGAATGAATGAACATCTCTCTTATTGACTCATTAACATCTATTTAAGCATGCAGAGTAGCATTTCAGCAAAGAATCAAACACACAGCGTTCAAACTTAAGCAACACTGAGCTTTGAAGCTTTTACTATTTTAGCTACTAAGGGCCATCAGCATGATGTCAAGAACTTTACCCCTTAGAGAGAAGGTGTATAGGACACATCAATGCGCTACTAGGTTTTGAAACATGAGGACTCTTAGTGGGCACTTTAGAAAGAGGAGTGTGAACTATCTGGCTCTTAAAAAACAGTTACGTTGTCCTCTCTATTTAACATTTCACAAGCAATGTTTGTAAGGACACTCAGTGTTCAGTGACTCCTTTTATGTCAATCCTTTACTCCTTATAATCTACCTTTTAGTGTATGTTTAGCAGCAACAGGTACCATAGCCTCATGTTCCTTGCTAGACTTTTAATTTAAAACTGCATTGACGCATCTAGTTTCAGCTGAAATGAGTCTAGCCATAAGATTTTCACAATCCTCAGGCCTTTGATTATTTCAGTTGTGTGCGTTTATAAGAACGTCTTTGTGAAAATAACAGGTGATAGAAGGCTGTGAGAGAATAGGAGATGATATATTGGAGTGAAAACTCATTTCTAACCTGTCTAATGAGGCTGTTTCTCTCTTACAGAGCCACAATTGAACGCCGCAATCTCAATGGCCTTATCATGGCATTATTATTATTATTTTTCTTTGCTGATCTTGTTTCATTTTGCCTATGCTTTTTCTATTTTAGTTGCTAATTTGACAGGAGCTAGGGCCATAAGATAACAGTCTTTTACAAAATGCCTTGCACATATTTTGTTTTTTTATTTGCTGCAATGTTATGTTTTATTGTAAGTTTACAGGTAAGGATGTTTTTTTTCTAATTATATTTTGCTATTTCTATATTTTTCTACGCTGAAGTTTTATTTATGTTTCTGCTTGAGCTGGGTGCAACTTCACTTAACTGTTTATGTCATAGCAATGAATGGGTGACTGCATTTCATCACACATACACATGACTGTAGCATATGATGTTCAGGTGCACTAAAAGATTAGGCTTTGGATCAATGTCTGTATGTTTTCATTACCTAAATGATATGAGAGCCTAGAAAAAAAAATATGCCAAATGGATTTAAGCTTGTCATGTTTATTTATGGCAGTCCCTCTCCATCTAGAGGATGCTAAAATGTTTTATTGATCACAAAACTTGATTTGCTCTTTCATTATGCAGTTCCTGAAATCTCTTAAGTTGTATAATTTTTATTCTGAAAATAAATTGAACCAGTTTGAACAAAAAAAAAGTACAATGGTTAATATCAAAATGCATTTTTTTTTTCAGATTGATATTTCCAGACGGACTTTCAAGTGAGTATTCGCTGGTGTCCATCTTCCGTGTGAGACGAACTACAAAAAAAGACCGCTGGTACATTTGGCAAATATTTGACCAGTCAGGAAGCAGCCAGGTAGGCATGCTGTAAAGTCACACATTGATTGTCAGAAGTTTACATCACCAGCTTCTTAATTTGGACTTTAAAGCATAGATTAGAATGCTTTTTTTCTCTCAGGGTTGAAGGATGATACAACAATCAATTTAGGAGAATTAAAAAAAATTGGAATTAGTGGCACAAGGATTTTATCTAATCTAAACAAGATAAAAATCACATCTACAGGCTCAAATTATCAGATATATGCACCCACCTCTACAGAGAGGTGGATAAATGTCCCTTAGCATGTGACAATTCCAACAAGCTTTAGGTTGCCTTTAATGATCTTTCTCGGATAGTTCTGGTTCAGTATTCAAAACTATTTTTTATATGATATTGGAGTTTATTGACATTTGTTTATAACATTCATCTAGCTTAGTTAAAAAATGTAAATCTAGATTGCAAAGCTTAATGATACTCGGCTGTCATCTTGAACCCTCCAAACTGGATTTTTATATTTGTTACTAGAAATCCCCCAAATTTTTCACTACATTGTAGAAAGCGGCTGTTCAGTGGTCCAGTGGTTAGTACTGCTGCCTTGCAGCAAGAAGGTTCTGGGTTTGATTCCCGGCCTAGGGTCTTTCTGCATGGAGTTTGCATGTTCTCCCTGAGCATACGTGGGTTCTCTCTGGGTAGCCCGGCTTCCATCCACAGTCCAAAAACATGACTGTGACCTGTCCAGGGTGTACCCACGCCTCTCGCCCATTGACTGAAAGATAGGCACCAGCACCCCTCGCACTTGGGACAAGCGTGTCAGATAATGAATGGATTGTAGAAAGCAACACTGGTATTTTAGATGTTTCTTATAGCTTTGAGAACTAACTTTTTTTGGTTGCTTCTAAAAATCCTGATCCATATCAGAATATTTATTTTTTAACTATTTATTAACTATTATTAGCCAAAAGATTGAGGCTAAAAAATATAACATAAAATAACTAAGAAAAAAAAAAATCAAAAGAAAAATTAGAAGACTGATCAAATATTCTCCCAGAACTTTAACAGAACTGTGTGGATGGCTCCATAAAAGCTGGAGTTATTTTATTTATATTACACTGCAATCACAGTGGATTAGAGAAAAAAAAACAAAACAATCAACAACAATAAACTCAAATTGAAGTTGATTACTGTATCATCTTTACTCTCTGGGAAATGAATGCTTTAAGTGCATTACTAAAGGCTCTGAATTATTTTAACATTCACAGTTTCTATGATGAGTAAAAAAAAAAATTTTAATCAGCAATGCACATAGTAAACAAAACATTACTATTCTGTAAGTACAAACTGCCATTAAACTCTTCTTCATTCCTCAGGTGTCTGTGGTGGTTGATGGCGATAAGAAAGCAGTGGAGTTTTCCTACCAGGGCTTGCTGAAAAACTCTCTCCGCTATACGTTTAAAAGTCGTGACCTGCACGTCCTCTTTGATCGCCAATGGCACAAGCTCGGCATTTCTGTTCAGACTGATGTAGTCTCTATTTATGTGGACTGCAAACTGGCTGAAAAGAAAATGACTGATGAGAGGGACAACATCGATCTCAATGGGCGCACCCTAATTAGCACACGGATAGAAGATGGAAGGCCTGTGGATGTATGTTATGATACATTTTAAAACACTTTTTTTTTTTTTTTGGAATTAATTTACATATATCATGTGGGTATATCCATATTTATTGGAACAGCTAGTAAATTTATGTAAAATGCCACTAAATTGATTTTTGGTGGAAGCATTATCTTTTTGAGGGAGGAATGTTTCATAAAGCAAATACATGAATGTGTTGTAAAATAGATATTTGCAAAAGTGATATATAAAAATACATTTATTAAATAAACTTAAGGTAATAAATTCATGTGTTTTTGTTTAAATGTTTCACTAATTTGACAGATTCATAAAGAAATAGTAAATCCAGTAAATGTTAAAATACTATGTAATTTACATCCATTTTTAAAAAGAAAACTTTTCTCATTTTTTAAGTATATCTTCCCCATCAAAGCTGTTTGGCAGGGTAAACTCTGCTCTAGACAAGTTAATTGGTCTAAATGGAGATGCAGTGCAAATTAAATAGGGTAGGCTGCCTTTAATTACCCACACAGACTGTTTGAATTACTTCATGATTAAATGTTACAGATTTACATTCGGAAAGGAAAGCTGGAGTTTAATTCATAAAACATGCAGCCTTAAATAATTCAACATGTAAATATTTTTGTATTGGGTAAATTATTTTAACTATTGACTAATTATGTCAATACTTAAAGACATTTATTTTGAAATATATTTAAAGTCTCCCATTATTTAACAAATCATATTTTTATGGATTGAAAACATGTTTAAATTCAAATTTAAATGGATATTTTGTTGAGATAAATTGTAGCTGTTTTTTTTTTTTTTTTTGAACCAAAATTGCTAAAATGATAACCACTACATCCAATCACTACAGTACGAAGTCCAGCTAACTTAAGCATGTAACCTAAGGATTTTGCAATATTGACTTTTTTTTCCCATTATCTAACAAATCATATTTTGATGGACTGAAAACATGTTTAAATTCAAATCTTTATTTTAAAAGGATAATTTATTGAGATAAATTGTAGCTGTTTTTTTTTATTTTCTTTCTTTAATGAACTTACTGTTTCCCTAGTGAAAGTTTCTAAAGTGACTCTGAGGTCCCTTTCTCATAGCCATTCTTTAAAATAGGAAAAGACGAATGAACATGGGATTTAGGGAAGGCAGATGTGTGTTGACCTACATAGGTCAGGAAATGGCTACGGAAAAAAAACAGCTACTCACCAATTAATTACAGTCAGGTCCGTAATTAAAACCTGTGACAAAAAAATCTATTTTCCATTCACAAAGTGAAGGAAATAAAAAAACAACTTTAAAACAGGAGGGGAGAGAATCACAGCAAATTTCCAACTACAAAGAAACATTAAGGCTGTTTATTTAACTTTTATCAGAGATGAAAAATAATTATGAGGAGTTACTGGAACTTTTTCAGAGTGATTTTTTTCTAAAAAGTTTACAACTTTTTCCTTATTTGATAAGCCATGTACGGCTAATTAAATGCAATGAAATGCTTGAAATCATTCTTCAGGGACATTTCTCCTTGACTGGTGTAAATCTTCTATTGATTCACTGCTATAAGCTTCCTTTAGTAGCTGGACCTACGGGCTAAAAAGAAACCTAAGGTCAGCTTTGCCATCTGATCACGCATGTCTTTGAATAGAAGTTGGCTTAAGTTGGATTACCAGCTGACTTTTCACTCCATGTTATTCATATTTTACACAAATCACTAAGGATCTGAGCCTTGCAGGAGGTAAAGCATTTAAGCACACATTGTTATTTCAATTTAGAGTATCCAAACTATTTGTAGTAATCATAGGATCCGGTTAATACTGATAGCTAACCGGACGTATTTAGATGATGTAACCAAAGAAACACACATTGTGTATGAATATGTTAAGCAACTGTTGGATGTTGCATCGATTTAATTGTGTTTTGTTAACAGATCGAGTTGAGACAAATTTTGATCTACTGTGACCCTTATATGGCTGAGATGGAAAATTGCTGTGAGCTGCTTGAGCCAAAGGTAAAAGCTGTTCTTATTTTTAACAACTTATACTCTGTTGGGTTTTAACCAAAATGCCAGGTTTATACTGATGTATAGGATTCGGGTGGTTTTAATTATATAAGTTTAAAAAAAATGTGGCACTTGTGAAATTAGAAATGGTAAAATGTTGAAAGGATGATATCTAAAACTATCATGTTGATGTATTATCTGTATGACTGTACCTCAAACTAAAGAAAAAGTGTTGTTGTTCACTATTAACTCTAAGCTGGAGTTAGGTTAGCAAATTTCCTAAATGCAACAGAACTAAACTTTTGCTGTTTATTAGTTTATGTGACATTTGTGGTTAAACAGATTTTCTGATGCAGTGTAATTGTAAAAGTCAAGTTGAAGAAGACAAGAATGTTCTTTAATAATTATTTACTGCACAGAAACTTAATATATGAAGTATTTTATAAGAAATTGAATCAATTAGAGTGAATGGTTTATATATATATATATTTATTATGTATATTTTCTCTTTCAAATAAAAAAATGACCTTTAACCTCAGCCCATTATGTATGTCCACAAGGATACCGTCATGGCAGTGTAAGGTTACTCTAAGGGAGTTCTGACTTTCCCAATAGACTTATCACAGAATGCAGATTAAGAGATTGATTTGCTCAGCTGCACAGTGAGAAAGACAGAAAGAAAGAAAGAAAGAAAGAAAGAAAGAAAGAAAGAAAGAAAGAAAGAAAGAAAGAAAGAAAGAAAGAAAGAGATTGTTGAAAATAAACAAAAAATCAGTATAAATTGTCTGATTGGTGAAATTTCTGTATTGATCCAGTGTGGAGTCGAAAGGACATTTACTGGGACCTCCCCTCCCCCGGTTACAGCCCAGAGTCCCCTGGTGCTGTCTCAGCCGACCTCACAGTCAATTGACAGATGTCACTGTCCAGCAGAAAAGGTATAATCAATTCCTCTCAACAAGGGCTTCTAATTGACTCTAGGGTAATGGCCATTGTAAGTGAGACAGCTCTTGTTTGATGTCACACGAACTCTATCCTTTATGGGCAGCTAAACGCCCAGTTAAAAGGCATCTAGTTCTGAAAGTATTAACAAATGCTTATGCAATTCATATAAGCGTAGCGGCTAAACAGTGTGTAAAGCCTTTGTCAAAAGTTACAAAAAATCTTTTGCAAAAATAACCTAATTTTAAAATGGAGATTGTGCTCTTCTTCTGCTTAATACATTCTATCTTTCATTCTTTATTGACTTTGAAGGCCAAATATGATCATCTATTTGAGCATAAAAACTAATAAATCTTGAAAGTATGAAACAGCTTTACAGCACTCAGCTTAACAACTTGTTTTCTAAGAACATAGGTTAAAAAAAAACAACATTTTATGTATTTGGAAATCTATAGATGCTTGTCATGATTATAGACCGTTTACTAAGGTGGCCGACAGATGCAAACATGCAGTAAGGCCTGAAACAAGCTGCAAAAACGTGTGACAAACTTCAAAACACAAAGGCACAAAAACCTAATACAAGAGAAAAACATTGCAAACAAAAATATATGATGCAAGTTCTAAAACACGCAAGTACAAAAAAAAAACAAAAAAAAACAAATGCAACAGGAAAAATGCTGCCAACAAAAAAGAAATAAGGTGCAAACAGGTGAAAACATGCAAACACATATATGATGCAACCTCTGAAACACGCAAATACAAAAAACCAAGCAAATGCAACAGGAAAAATGCTGCAAACAAAAAATTCTGTAATCCGTAAAAGTAGAAGCAAAAACCTAAAGTTCATAAAACAAATGAAAACAAAACAACACAGAAAGCACAAACAGAATGGTGCAAGAAAAAAACAAAATGCTGCAATCGGGGAGAAAATTATGCAAATAGTAAAAACAGCTGCAAACCTGCTCCACAAAACGGAAGTGTTTCAGATCACTACAGTGAGTTGACCAAAGAACAAACCATATCAGACCAAAACCTCAGTTGAAACAGGAGGTTAATATTTAACCCGGGATTTAAAAAGGATTTAAAAAGGAAAGAAGTTTGCGTCATACCTGTGTTTGCAGCTCATTTTGACATTTGCAGCAAATTTATACTTATTTGCAGCTGATTTCCTTTTTGTTTGTAGCATTTTTATTTTGCATTTGTTTTTGGTGCTTGTGTGTTTTGGGGTTTTCGTCATTTTGTTGTTTACTGCGCATTTGCATCTCTTGTGAACTGTAGTTCAATGCATAAAACAACACCAATAATTCGTCTACCAGAAAAAACAGTTAGCCACTAGGTTTCCAAGATCATATACATAAGTAGGATACGAGGAAAAACATAATAGGATTAAAAAGATTTTTTAAACCAGTTAAAAAAAAGAGTCTCTGTTGGAAACCTTTTTTCTCCAAGATTATTAAACAGTTCAAATCCTAGATTTAGGGTCAGGACTTGGGTGTAAAGCAGAGCTGAAAAAAACTGCTTTGCACTGTAGTGTAAAGGATGATATTTTGATGACAGAAACCACAGCAGAAATTGAAACATTGACAGTTTTACCCTTTCTAAATGACAAGCAGATTTGCTTACAGCAGAGCTCTTTTAAATCCCTGTGAGGAAGTGGTTGGTTAGGTTTCTGTGCAATTGCTTTTCGATAACATTTTTCCTGACTTCTCCTCATTGGACAAATCATCGTAACAATCTGCTCTTTGTGAATTCAAATTCCAGTTGGAAACTTTGCTAATAATCCTTTTATTTTAGATGATCATTGCTTTATACATTAAAGCCCAAATTGGGTCTTCCACAGGTAAAAACACTCTCCTCAGCTGTTCCTGACAGCCTTATGCTAACCTTTTTCTTTGCAATTTTTAAAAATGTTACTGAATCTCATATTGTATCATGTGAGCCACAAGACAAACATAACTAAAAGAGTAATATTTACAAAGGAACATATAATATATACCTTTAAACTAACATAAGGAGTGGCTTTTTGCACATATTTACTCATTTTTATAATAAATGTATTTTAGATGGAGGAGCATGTTCCTTTGTCCAAGACTGCAACCTAACTGTAGTATGAAATATTTAATTAAACTACAAGAGCCAATCATTACTATTAAATGTAAATAATTTCAATCAAATTTAATTTAAGCCAAATTTAAATGGAGATTGTTTTAAGGTTAAATATAATAACATTGAACCTTTTAAGATGTATTTCATTGTTTTTACTCATAGGGAGATGCTGGTCTCCCAGGGATGCTTGGACTGTTTAAACCAGACGGGAGAAAAGGAGACAAGGTAAGGACAACATTTGAACCAATAAAAATTTTTATTTATTGGGGATCAAACTGTTTTTACATGTAAGCATTTTTCTGCATTACAGCTTTGGCTACCTCTTAACATAAATTACCTTGCTTTTGTTGTTAGGTAAATCTTCATCTGCTTTGTTTTCCCTGATTTGTTCTTTAATTTATTTATTTAGCCAGTCCTGCTGGTTTACCAGGAACTGTGCACAGTTTGAATGTCAGGGAAGATGGCGATTTTCTTTAGGACAAATTTATATTGGAGTCTTACAGGTAAAAAAGCATCCATCTCTCCCACACTGGGCAAATGTCAGTGCTGTAGTGTCTGCAAAGCCTTATGTTCTTCTGTCAAGGTCCTTCAGTGGGGCTACTATACAATTACCTTTACAAGGTGAAATTTCTCCCACCTTACCCAAGGACTGTGAATTGGGAAATCATAGATTTGTACAATCAGTAGAAAACAAGTATAGTTTGAAAAGAGAATGACCCTTTCCATGACAGCTCAATAGACATGTTGAATTGTAAATTGTAAATGCCCACTTACTGAAAATTGTTGGTGTTATGTCAGCTGGAGGACATGGAAAAAAAAGAACAAATCATTGAATCCCCAGTCAAGCAGTGTTATTTTTCCCTAGACGAATCCAATTGTTTTGTTTTAGATTAAATCCCATTTTGGTTGTTTATACAAGGTTAAAGAAGGCTGGAAAGGGGAATACATCCAACTATGTATGGAATTTATTACAGAACAGGTGGCAGTGCTGCATCCCAGATGGGATCAGTCACTCTCCTAACTACCAATATGTAGGATTAGGATATCAAAGATCACTGCTAGACCTCTGTTATTTAGAAAACAAGTTTTTCCTGGATGCCTTAACCTCCTCAAAAAGTCTTCATGTAAACACAGTGTTTGGCTTCACTCCATTCCCTTTGACTTTTTGAAATAAGGTTAGATTAACATTGAGGTTCTTGTGTTTGGAAATTATGTTTTTGAAATAGCTTTACTTCTGGATTCAGATACAAATTCAGATTTTACTACACCTTAGCCACCTTGCCATGTCTCTAAACATACAGATACAAACTGTTGATTAGTGTCTGTTTGGTCCCATTATAGATATCTTAATAAACATATGATTTATAAAGGTTAGCTGGCTGCCCATTCTCTCCAAAATTACCATAACACAATTGTGGATATTGAATTAAACTCTTTTATTCAGAAGCAAAATGTGCTAATTAATTTTACACATAAGTTATAACTGGCTGCTCTTTGTCCCTAATTAAAGTGTCAAAGATACTTTCAAACTACTGTAGTTGTAATGTTGCTATGCTGCGTTGGCAGTTAATTAGTTAGTAGCTATATGATAGCTTTGGAACAGACTTTATCAGGAAAAAGATATCATGTCAGGGAGGCATATGACACACCCACATATCTGATAACCAAAGTGCTTACTGCCAAAAACTACAAATTGTAGTATGGTGACAAAACAGCTGTTAGAACAGAGTGCTGGATAGAAAATAAGATCTATATTTTTTTTTCTGAATAGCAATTAAGTTAGTATTTTTTAATTATGCCTTTAAAACAGATGTGGGTTGTTTTTACCAAACCAAATTAACAAAGTCAGAGAAGTCAGGATTTCAGTATTGCGACAGTCAGGAAAGTTGTTGTAGTACCTCTTACAGTAGGAACATCGTTTAAAGCTGTATTTTCCACATATAATCGCAACTTCTAATTTGTTCAGTTTAGAGGTCTGCCTCTAAATATAACTTTGAGTTTAAGTTCATTTGTTCAAATGTTTCTTATAAAGCAAACATGCCATTATTTGTCACAACTTACTGTTGTTGAAGCAAGGTGCTGCCATATTGGATCTATTCAATTCTATAGGCAATAAAAAGGTACAGAGGTTCAAGGTACGTAGACCGAGTTTGTTGTAAGTTAGTTACATTTTTGTCTCTTTACACTGATACAACCTAAAACTGTGAAGTTGGGGAAGGGAGCCAGAGTGTAAAATGGACAAACCTTTGCTAAAAATCACAATATTAAAGTAAGAAAAAATAAAATTGCCTGTATTCAGAAACTTCCAGATATTTAGAGTACATAATGTATGACTTTTTTTTTTTATCATACACCTTTATCTTATACTTTATCATGCATGTATAACATTTATAAAACTTCACTGCTAGCTAGATTTTTTTTTTATTTTTTTTATTTTACTGTAACATTAAAGGCAAATGCTGTGGCTATTTGAAACTGCAAGTTTTTGAAAAGGGTTATGCTCAAAATGCCTTCTTCTATTATAGCTTTCATATTTGCTTCATTTTTTCCCTTTTTTGTTAATGTAGTTACCCGGTACATATATATTTATTTAAGGAATCTAAAAATTTTGCCAGATTAATTCATTTATGCATATTAGTTGGAACAAAGTTTTTTCCTTTTTTTTTGGCCTTTTTTTCCTTTTTTTTTTTTTTTTTTTAATGAATGAAGCTCATTATTTTGGTATCATTCCCATTTGTTATGAGTCAGTTTCTAATGTCCTAATATTAAATTTCAGTTCATAATTTAAAATCAATTTTAACTAACAATTCATAGCAATTCCCATTTTAGTCTAGTAGCCGAATCACTCCAGTTAAGAAGAAACATGCCAAGTGACAAAATGTTTAACACTAACAGCTTTCTACATTTGTAATGAAGAATTATTGACAAAAAAAGAAAAAATTACTCAAAGAGGTTTTAGCAATGTTTCTTACTCTTGTGCTTTTGCTCCAGTTTAATTTAAAGATCTATTTAGCTAAATTTAATAAGTCTGGCAGAGTAATTTCTAAAACTAAATGTTGCAAAGGTTTATGTGAAGTTATATATCCCTTTCGCTGCTTCTATGATTTAAGTCAAATTATATCACAGCGCCACCTTCATCAATCTGAAGATATTGTTCATTCTACTGCTTAGCAGGAACGATTCTCTCTTTAATTATGATTTCTGTTGCTTTTCTTTTTTTTTTATTTCTCATGTGTTCCCCTACTGACTCATGAGAGGTTAATTCTTCCTGATTTACCCTTTGTTTGCAATAAATACACTTGTCATTTTTCATTATTTCATCCACACAGATTGAAGCGATTACTTTTTAAAGTGCACACGAGAGGCACATTTAAAATGTGAAAAAAGACCATGATTTAAGGTTAATGCTGACTTAATGACTGTTTGGAAGGGACACATTTAAATAACAATTCAAATCAACACTTAAAAAGCACAGCAGCCAAAGTGCCTCTCAAGCCATTAGCACAGAGAGGTGCTTTGAGATAATTTCATGCACCTGATTTGAAATTTTAATGAGTCTAAACAAACTGAGTGTGATGGGTTTAATAAATTGATGTGAAATAGTTTTCATGATACATTTAAAATAAGAATGAGAGAGACGTTTGATTCAGTTGAATAGGCTTTATGTGATATGATGAACATCACACTGTATACTGCATCATAAGCACTCAGCACAGCTGCTACATGATCATCATTCTCAGGTAGCAGATGATGGTTGAAAACAACAAATTGTCTCTGATCATGCAGTAAATATTTGTTATTGTTTCCTTGCAACTACTGTTTAAAAAAAAAAAAAAAAAACACCTCACCACAGACATTGCTTCTTTTAAGCCATCTGATGAACATCACATTTCACACAATATTATGCTTTGATTTAGCACAATGCAATAGGTTCTTTACAAAAACGCCCTCTGATCTTTTGTCATTACTCCACGGCAGCAGCTCATTATACTGAGCCCCAAATCTCAATCAGTGATTATTAAACTGTTTTATACTATTTTAAAGATAATAAAGGGGTCTAACTATTAATAGCAAATGATTGCTTATAAGTTAAGCTGAAAAGTCTTTCAATTAGCGACTGAAGCACCTCATTCAGTGGAAGAGTTTAAAATAGAATACGTATACTCTGTAACAATTTAACTTGACTTTGTAGAGATTAATCAAAGGCATCTGGACAATTTTAAGCATTTAAAAGGCCCTTAATGAGAGCTGGAGGCCAATCATCATGACCTACACAGAGAGAGTTTCTCGGGAAAGCATGCAGGGATTACTTTGGCTGCGCTACTCCAATGGATAGCACTATCCCACATTACAGTAAGTTTGATGGAGGATTCTTATGCAGTGCAAAGGGATTAAAGTGCTATGATTAATCCAGAATCCCCCAGGAAATTAAACAGATAAGTAGCGGGTTATAAGAATGCAGCTTACTGAAAGGAAATCCATTTTCTGTGGCCTTGCACATAAAACCTGTTATTGCTAGATTTACAGCTCCTGTATGTACATGCAAAGAAACACATTTTTCCTCTTCTACTTTCTGCTTATTTGGTTTCGCATTGGTCATCGCGCTCATGCTGTTATGACTACTGTTTTCATTTATAGCCTTGAATTAAACGTGCACGTATTGTTCCTTTAAAGTGAATTACTGCAGGAGTTTTTAGTCAAAGCAGTTTATTATGCTGCCGACGGTGAAATTTGATAAGCTGTCCAAACCTTTCATAGCTCCTATTATGCTCATTCGTGTTAAAATGTTATTAGGTTTTCATGAATATATTGTGTCATAGGCTTAAAAGGAAATTTAAATGACTTATGGAGCAATGTGGAATGTGCATTCACTTCCATTTGATGAAACTGTTATCAGTAGCTGACATTAACAAATGGGAATATCTATTATTTCTATTAAAAAGCAAACTATGTGATTGCTCATATTGTCACAAACCCTAGGGTTCACCTTGGTAAAAGTTACACTGATTATTTCTTTCTAAATAAAAGATAACAGGCTCACAAAACTATTGTCCAAAGATAAGATTTAGGTTTCCAAAGTAGGCTATTTTTAAGCAAGAATGTCTGCCTGTATATTTCTGTCTTAGTTGGAAAAAAATTGGAAAATATCTACACTTCTACAATTTATAATACTTTTGAGGAATTCTTATATTCTTATACTTGAAATGGGGTGGAATGAAATGGTCCAAATATTTTCAGGAAAACAATTCTGAGAAAAGAAGTCCTTGTAGCCATCGTTTCTCCCTTTTGTAAATGAAAGCTATAGTGCTTACACCTTCAAGTTTAATCTCCCTGATTCTTTTCCTGACAAGAGATCACTCAAAACAAACATTTTGAGTAGAATTTTCCAAGGTATATATTTCAAATGACTGTAAAACATGATGTCAGGTTTAACAGGATTTAAACTTACCAAGAACAGACAAATTACATAGGTTACATGCTGCCGGCCTTAACGGAATAAATTCATCAGCGAAGGACACAGAATAATGAAAAACTTCAACAAACTTCAGTAGGGCAGCAAATGGACATAGTAGAATAGCAATCCTCTTTGAGCCTCAATAACAACAACATAACGAGGGGCAGACAGTGCAGGAGAGCAGAGCTCATACTCTCCCCTCCTCATGAAAAAAAGAGGAGAAAAAGAAAAAATGCGGAATCACCTCAATATATATATATATATATATATATATATATATATATATATATATATATATATATATATATATATACAAAAATTGGATCGGATATTAAAAAGTGGAATTCAACCATTGTCACCAGGACCAGGACTTTAATAAGAGGCAAAATGAAACTAAAATTATTGCAAAAATAGAAGACTTGTTTATTTTTTTTCTGCAAGAAAGAGGATTTTCCAGAGGTTGATTTGATACCAATGTTTGCCAACTGTTCAAGCTTTACTTAAAAAAAAAAAAAAAACCTTTAGAGTATATTCTTTGTGCAAGTTACATATATAAATATATAAATAGAGGTTTCTCTAGATACCTGAATACATTTGCAAGTCACCTGATCTTCTCTACTGACAGTAGTGACCCCACTTCCTTATCTCCCTCTTTTTGCACTCCTGTGAAACATATGTCACAAGTTTAATATCTTGTGTGTAGCACTTTGCTTCCAGGTCAATAGAGTTATCATCACAGTTGTCGGGACAATGCAGTGACTATTTCGGGGATTTGGATTAATGTTTTCCAGTTGTTGAAGAACAGTATCCCAACCTGCAGCTGCTGAGCCATATTGTCAGTGAGAATTTATGAGACAGCTGTAGTAGCAAGGCCACTGATGAAATGACAAGCCCTCATAATGCTATTCACTAATGTGTGAATGAGAGACCTTTCACTAACTGTTGTTTGTATTGTTTTCATCACAGTGGGAGACACAGGGAGGTTAAGCTTATAGGAACTCCTGCACATAACTGGACATAACTTTTTTTCTTTGACTACATTGGATTAGACACTTGCTAATAACTGAGGCAGTTTTCCACCAATATTGTAATACATTGAAGGTATGCAGGAGCAGTGATGGTATAAACTCAATAACCCAAAACATTGGTGCCTGTTTGGTGGCGGATGGACGACTACATAGTGCTGCAGAGATGTATGTTTCAGTTCCTAGCACTGGCATTTCTGGCCTGGCTGTGTGCCCTGTTGGACATAGTTGGCATTTGTCCTGGGTGGGGGCCAGTAAGGAATCATGTCCTTGTCACTGCAGTAGCAAAGTCTTGCAGCAAGGATGTTTGAGCTGTTTGTGCAGAGGGGGGTTAGAATATAAGTGTGAACACCTTTGAACATGCCCAGTTGATGAAGCCCACTGCTTCTGTATTAACAACAAATGACTTATATATACAGCACCCCATGATTATTGGCACTGATGCTAAAGATGTGTAAAAATAAATTAATCCTTGCCTCTCTGTACTTTCATAGAGTGGCAAAATCTTAGATTGATAATTTGTTTCATTTAACAAATCCACTAGTGCTGCTATGTTGACCCCAGGTTAACCGACAATCCTGTTTTCCTAGTTGGACAAATCTAATAATATTATACCCATTATAATAAGGCAATCCATTTCTACTTTTATGACAAAGGCAACTTACTTTTATTGCAAATCCTTTGGTTCAGGACCTTTGGTATTGAAATACACCAAAATATCACATGTGTGTAGAAAAGGCATCAGTGGTTTTCCATATATCCCTCTTTTGTGTTTTGTCAGACCAACAGTGTTATGAGATTTTTTTTTTATCCTGCCATTTCTCTCAAGCAGCTGCTATGCAAATGGATAGTATCTAATGGTTGCTACTACAGAAAGTTGTTTAGCTCAAAATGGCAGTCGGCTGCAGTTCACCGTGAACTTTGAAAAATGTTGTTATAGGTCTTGGCATCCTCCCTGCCAAGGTGGTGGGGAGGCATTGCAAATGCCACTAACAGTCCCCATGTGTCACATCATATTTACAGCTAAATGAAACAGGAGGTCACAGAATGAACTTAAACTAGTGAAAACAGTAACATTTGTGTTAAATATGTGACATTTTTTTATGCTGAATGTTTATCATTGTTGTTGTTGTTTTTATTATTATTATCATCAGTGTGGTAAGTATAAACATATAATAAAAATATCAAATTTTCAAGATTATTATTAATTTGAATGCTGCAAGATCACCAAAGTAATCAAACTATAGCTTAACTGTTTTTATTTATTTGACAATTGCAATAAAACATAATTTCATATCTTCCCCAGCTAGGCATCTACTTCTGCTGATGGTTGTTCAATAATATGTTCTTTGTTTTTTTTTTTATGAAAAGTTGCATCTTAGATGGCTGTCTTAATCTACTACATTAAGGGAGTTTTCTTTTTACATTGTAATAGAGCAAATTGCTCTTATGCAAACACACTGTTATATCTAGTATTAAAACCAAGGCTGATCTGCAGCCTTTTTTATAATGTAGCAATAGAAGGTATGATGGGATTATTCTTCTGCTCTAAAGAAAATAAAAATAAAAATGTATAAAGACATAGATATTAAAGATGCAGATTTTTCTAGATAGATCCATAAACTTACTATTTGCATGCATATCAGTTGTTAAGCTTTTTCTAAAAGCGCTTTTGCTTAGACAGAAAATGTGATTATTCCAGACTGTGAGAGATTGTTTAATCCAGGATTTTTTGCACTGAAGACACTGTTTTTTTTTTTTTTTTTTTTTTTTTTTACCATGGTGGCTTATTTTCTCATATACCTTGATTCCATTTTTCAGGAAGTGTCTTCTTTTTTTGTCTTTTAGTTGTATTGTGAAACATATTTGGCTAAGTCAAAAAATTTTTTGCACCCAAATAGCTCATAACGAAAGCAACATCTTTTCCCAGCTGTTAATACAATAAGTGCAATAATGTAGCTGGCCTAGATACTCCGATACAGCAGCTTGCTTGAGCTTTGGGCAGGCAGAGGCCATTACAATATACATATGAGTTACACACTAATAAAGAGTCAACAAGTTCCAGGATATTTCACACATTTCTGGCAGAGTGTGTGAAAAACATTCAGCTACTAAAGCTCCAATTACTTATTCACAGCTATATAAACACACATATGTTATAAACTACCCTAAAGTTGCAGTTTTTCAGTTATCTATCAGCTAAACCATGCTGCATAAAAATTCATATCTAGAAATATGTCTTTTATACTTCAATTTTTTTTATTGCAGGGGGAACTTGGATTAGAAGGGCAAAAGGCAATCGATGGAGAGAAGGTGAGTATTGCTATTTCCAGCAGACATATAGTCCATACACAGGACATCAACAAGCTCCACTTTCTTTTGTCAGGCAATCAATTCTTTTAGGCTTTTCATTTTTCGTTTGCCATGTCCCAGAGGTATGAACAAAGCTGAATTTTCTGTGTGGCTGTTCTGCCATATCGCTATTAGATGTAAGAGTGTTTTAGACCGCACTGTCCTTCTTGCTGTAGAATTAATTGATATGTCGTATGCGGCCATAGACTGGCATACCAATGGACTAAACTAATTTCTCAAATTATTATGAGATCATTCTGTGCCATTTTAAGGTCATTCTTTATTGCATGCACTCAAATCTGCCTTGACTGATTAAAGTACTGTATGGTGTCGCTGTACGTACTCATCATTTTTGATATTTCTACAGAAATTTATTTTCTTTATTACCAGAATTCTACATGTTCTGAAAGTGTTATGGTTTAATTCATTAAATGAATTTGGGAAAAGTTTTTTTTTTTCTTGATGAAACCAGTACTTCTCCATCTGGTAAAAGCATGCATGTCATTATGAGCAGGGAGGGTTTGCAGCTGCAGCCTTTGTTAGGAGTTAGTGTATAGGGATGAAAATGATTGGAGTCCCTGTAAAGAAGCATTTCTCATGATCAAATTCCCTGATAGTTAATGAAAAGCTTCACTGGAAATCAGCTTAAGAGGTGTGTTCTATTACTGAGAAAAAGAAATATGAGTGAAAGAAAATAAAAACAAAGCTGAGTGTACATCCATCAACCACAGCCCTAAAACACCTGCCCAGTATCGTGTAGATTACTTTTGTGCTACATAAACCTTTCTGACCCATTGGAGCATGGGCAGCGAAATGTTGGCAAAAAAAAAAAAACAGGTTCTGTGTGTAGAGGAATGGAGGAGGTCAAAGCTCTTTGTCCTGCTTGGGGGGGCTGCTGTAGTCAGGGAATTGTGTTGTCATGGGGATGTGTACTTTCTCTGCAATATTGTTTTGGCTGTTGGTGCAACTCAGCATGGTAGGAGCAAACAAACTTGAATCACCTCTCCATACCCACTTTCAAAAGCCATTAGAAGCTTAAAGTTTTACAAAAGATTTTATTAATTCTAGTTTTTCTCCAAGTTGCACCAAGCAGATTTCAAGTTTAATTCAAACTAGGAGTATTTTCATTTCATTATGTAATTGTTGCCACACTAAGTGTGCTCTGTCACAACAATCTTGTACCACTTTAGTAATCAGACCTTGGTTGGTCCCTCTTGGCTCATGTTAACTTTTCACAAGTTAGCACTATACTAATTTGTAGTTCTCTCTTTCTCTTTTTCTGTCTCTCTCTTTTTATGTGTCCCTCTCATCTATCTATCTATCTATCGATAGATAGATAGATAGATAGATAGATAGATAGATAGATAGATAGATAGATAGATAGATAGATAGATATGCTTTTGTAGGTATACACACACACACATATATTTATATATATATATTTATATACATTTATGTCCTCTTTAGAAAGCTCTAAAACATGGCTCTATCCATGTGACTGTATAACTTCTAGTGTTATCAACTTGTACCAGCTTCTTGCTGTGTTTGTCCATGAAGCAATCTGGTGATAAAAGTAAGTGCAATTGAGCAGTCAAGCAATCAAAGTAGTGAGCACTGAATTGGCAGTTTCTGAATTAAAGCTTTGGTTTGTGCCCCAACAACCAGAATGGTCTGTTTTGTTTGAGCGTAAGTGCCTCCTGACATGTTGAAAAGCCAGCTGATGTCATGAGAAGATTTGCATGTGAATAACATAATCAAGTTTATTTACCCAGGGATTTCAAGACCACCTAACTAGAAATTAACTGCATGCACATAAAAGATTGACTGATTTGTAGTCACAACATCACATGAAATATAATGGAAGGTTGTGAACGTGTGCAATGCCCTGGGTCATACTCAGTATTTACTGATTGGTAGTGATGCCTTCAATGATCAGTTAGGAAAAGTGTAGAGCTCTTCAAACATGGCACCCCTTGACTTTATATCAGCAGTACATAAAATGGAAACAGCTGGAAGCAGGTTCACTGCAGGAAAACTGAAACAGTTTGTATCTTTTTAAGAAGCAAAAAATCACAGCATCATATTTGCTGATTTACTTGTTTCCTTTACAAGCACAGTACTCTTTAAGAGGTAATGAGTTTACCTTACGTGGGTGGTGAGTTTTGTGTCTTTAAGCTTGCCCGCTCCCTACTGCTCTCTGTTGGGCCAAACCAGAAAACCCCAATCAGCATTCAATCAATGGTTATAAACACTGAAACTCACTATTCCATTTTTTTTTAGCAAATATTTGGCTATAAACAAATGTCCTCAGAAAACAAATACATTTTCTTGGAGAAGTACAGTAAGTGTATTTGAGCTAAGAGCCTTAGTTGGTTGTCTTTGCTTTGGTCATGCACAGACAATACACAATCTTTTCTTTCCAGGGATTTATTTACCTGTGCCCTAAGCAATGATGTCTCTGGTTTGACCATTGTTTTAGAAATAGTAGAAGTAGAAAATAAAAATGTTTTTGAAAAGTGTCTGGGAATGAAAACTTTTCCAAATGCAATGCTAAATGCCCTTAATGTTCACATTTGAGGTATATTTTTAGGGGCTGAGGTACTTAAGCTCAGACAGTGGAGGGGACATTTTAGAATCGTAAACAGAGAATAGTGTCAGAAGAACTTTGGTTAAATTTTAATCAATATTGTCCACAGAGATTTTAAGCAATAGTATTGCAATTACCACCCTGTTAAAGTGCTGCCTTAGATGGAGCCCAGTAATTAAATAAAGTTTAAAATTCCTCGTTATGACCAAGTGAAACGGTAGGTAATTTGTCTTTAAAGGGTATTTTTTAACAAAGAAGACATAAATGTGATCATAGCACACACTGCTGGTTTAGTTAGAGTCCCTCAAATTAATTTGAATGGTTTGTTTATATGCAGAGGTCACAGATAGAAGTTGTGGCAGGATTTTATATATTAGAATAATATATAGTTGTGGCATGATTTTATATATTAGAATAATATTTTCATCTTGTATCTAAATAAAACAAGGTAGATTGTTGTAGATGTTAGGAGAAACAGAAAAAAGTTAACACACTCTTACTATTACGGGAGAAGAAATGTGGAGGAGTATAAATACATAATTTTTAACCTGGTTGGTTGACATCTGAGACACAATCATGAAGCTGTCTATCAGTAAGAACATAGCAGAATTCTCTTCTGCAGGAAGTTTAGGTACTTGGCAGTTTCTGGATTAAAGCTTTGGTTTGTGCCCCAACAACCAGAATGGTTTGAGCATCATAAGTACCTCCTGACTTGTTGAAGATGTTGTTCATCTGTTGTTGATAGTATGATCACTCCTGCCATCATCTGTTGGGGTAGCAGTATGAGATACAGGTGCCCTGAACATCTTCTTCCTCAGACTGTCGTGCAACTACAGCGTCTTCTGTCAGAACTGCTGTAAGACGGACAGCAACAACAGATTCTTCTTGCCTACAGCATCTATATAAACTCATTGATAAAACCCTTATAGGACACCAAATGTAAACTTAGACTTGTTGTCATGCAGCTGGCTGTTATATATCCATCCCTGCTGGGGTCGCATGGGGTGTTAGTGCCTATCTCCAGCTGCCTACGGGCGAGGGGCAGGGTACATGCTGGACGGGTCGCCAGTTGTGTAGTATACTGAATGAAAATTTATCCTGTTGGCAGTTTTTTTTTTCTTTTTTTTTTTTTACATAAATACAAAAAAACTGTGTTATATTGTCAGATATTGAGAGAGAATAGAAATAATTACTGGGCTTGAAGTAAAAATTATTTACATTTAATTTCCATTCGTAACTGATCTAAATATTTCTTTGTTTGTTTAGCTTTACAACTATTTTATATTAAAATATATCATTATAATAATATGAACTACTAATATTTTGTATGACTTGCTATGAGCCACGGCAAAATGATTTTTTACTATTAGTAATCATAGCAAACTATCCATCCATCCATTTTCCATTACGCTTTATCCCTGATAGGGTTGCGAGGGGTACTGGTGCCAGCTGTCAATGGGCATGAAGCGGGGTCAGTCCAGAACAGGTCGCCAGTCCATCACAGGGCAACACAGGGACAAACGGGACGAACAACCATTTACGCACACATTCACACCTAAGGAGAATTTAGAGAAGCCAATTAGCCTAATAGTCATGGTGTTGGACTGTGGGAGGAAGCCAGAGTACCCAGAGAGAACCCACGCATGCTCAGGGAGAACGTGCAAACTTCATGCAGAGAGATCCCAGGCTTGAAATCGAACGTGGAACCTTCTTGCTGCAATGCAGCAGTCCTACCCACTGATTCACTGAGTAGCAAACTAGCTGATTGAAAATTTTATTAGTGAAAAAAAAACAGCTAGTAATATAAAAATGCATTTTGAAAATCAAATCTAAAATCTATTCAAGGATGACATTTGAGTGTATTGATCATCTACCACTGCAGAACCGTTCCTAGACTTTCCGGGCCTCCTTTTTTATTCTTATAGTTAGATGTTACAATTACTGTTAGTTTAAAAATTGTACCATAAAAATTAAAATAACTTTTGATGTATCTATTGTTATTAATACAGTAACTGTGTCCATATAGCAATTTGAACTTAGATTATTTAGAGAATCCTAAATATTCCAGTCAGATTTCTAGCAGGTTATGTTGTTGGACATAGTTATTGGCTACTAACTATAGATATGTAAAAAATAATATATATTCCCAGTTATATAAATACTAATTTCTCAAACTAAAAGAAAATGAAAACAATTCAACCTCGAATTGCATTTGTTGTCTCTATCAGTGGGACCTTTACTGGTGCACCTATTGATGACAGAGAGTAATGCTAACTTCTGTAAACAGACAACACTTAGTTTTCCTTTATTGCATTTTACAAAATTAAAGCAGGCAGGGTGTTTTTTTTTAACACTTTGCACAATTGGTATGTGA